GGAAGCAGAGGGTCAAAAGAATCTGGATGCTTCATGGACCGGTTCTCCTAAAGTTCTAAAACTTTTGCTGCTGCTTGGTTCTGGTCCAGCTCTGGTGAACCAGAACCGGTCCTAAACTGGACCTCCGGTTCCGCTTGGTCCGTTTTCCAGAACCGAAACTGCAGCAAAAGTCCAAAAAGACCTTTAGAGGAACCAGAGGTCGGGCCTCCGAGTTCCCGGGCCTGACGAGGGAGCGGATCAGAACCGGTCAGGGTTACCTCCTCCAGCAGAACCTCCAGCGCCGCCTCCTGGGCCCGACACGGCCTCCAGCCGACCAACCGCCACCTCCAGCCGCTGAACCAGACTCGCCAACTCTGCCGCCATTCCTGCAGGGGGCGACACAGGAAACAGGAAGTCAGAGGCTGACCGGGCCGGTCCCAGGAGCTCCGCCGGGGCGGTCCCAGGAGCCAGGGGCCCCGCCGGGCCGGTCCCAGGAGCCAGGGGCCCCGCCGGGCCGGTCCAGAACAGAAGCAAGGACCAGACCCATCCAGGTGGCGTCAGACGGACCCGGCTGGTCAGGAAGGTTTTAAAGGGTTCATTCTGGGACAGCAGGACCTGATGGAGGCACCTGGACACCATGGAGAGGCTCCGCCCACTAACCACCACAACAAACCGTTCTGTCAGAGAAAAGATCTAGAGCTGCAACTAAAGATTATTCTGCAAATCGATTCGTCTGTTGATTATTTTTTCAATTAATGGATCAATAATCATATTTTCACAGAACTAAACCAGATGAAACTAAAACGAGTTCTGGATTATAGAGTTCTGGATTATAGAGATTATAGAGTTCTGGATTATAGAGATTATAGAGTTGTGGATAATAGAGCAGACTGACGGATGGCAAAGTTTTATCTTAAATGCAAAATGTTTATACATTTATTTCCAATCTTGGTATAATCGCTGCTCTCAGTGAGTCTGTCAGATAAAGGCAGGTTTCAAAGTCTCTATAATCCAGTTATCGATTAATTGATTAATCGATTAGTTGATTATTTTATCAGTTCATCTGATTAATTCTTCCAGCCTATAAACGTCCATTTCTCCAAATTAATGCAGAATCTATGACACGGTTCTATGGTCTATAGTGGATCCATCTGCAGAGACGTTCTGGTTCCCTCCGAAGGGTAAGAAGGTCCCAGATCATCTAAATGGGGCCCTCCAGAACCACAGGGAGGGGCCCTCCAGAACCACGGGGGCCCTCCACAACCACAGGGGCCCTCAGGGTCTCCTGGTAACACGTTTTGATTGGTCTTCAATGATCATTTCAAAATGACATCATCAAAAGGAAAACTAGAAAATAAAGGAACGTTTATGTTTGAAGTTTAGTTGAACTCTGACCTCTCCAGTTTAAAGGTCAGAGGTGAAGCTCCTGCTGTGAACCATAGATCCTCGAATCTAGAACCACCATCAGCAGCTCCATCCAAACGCTTCTGATATTTAATGTCAGTAAAAAAAGGTCCAGATGGTTTTATTTAACCGCAAGTCCAGAACCACAGAACCACAGAACCCGTCCCCTCAGATCCAGGATCGGAACATGGAGGGAAAATCCCACCAGGACCCGACAGAACCAGAGGAAGGTTCTGAGCAAACGGGCCCAATAAGGACTTAGAATGAGTCCGACCTGGAGAGAAATCAGAACCGGATCAGGTTCTACCAGAACCCTGTTAATCATCTGCACACATCTCAGAGGTTCCTGCTGGGAAGGTCCAGACCCACTGGGTCCGGTCCACTTCCAGAACCGAGCCCATTACTGGGAGACCTGATAGCAGCACCTGCAGGCTGGGAGGGGCAGCAGGACCCAGAACCAGAGGAGGGTTCCCAGAACCAAGCCAACATGGCCGTCCTTCTGGGTCTCCTCGGATGGTTCTGGAGGTCCAGTCCACCTGCTGGACTCCATCCCTGAGCCTCCTGGTTCTGGTTCTGGTTCTGAGCTGCAGGTTCGGCTCTTTCCTTCCTCTCTGCTGACCCAGCAGGAAGTAGGGCGGGGTTCCGGCGCGGAGGGATACGGGCCGCACCTGGATCACAGGTGAGCAGCTAATCAGCGCTAAGCTAGGCTAAGATGACAGAACCGAACCGGAAGCTGCGGGTCCAGCCTGACCGGAACCGCCCAGACCTGCAGCCGAACCGGGTCCACTGACCCAGTCCCGGCACCGTGAAGACAGACTGGGTTCGGTTCGGATGGTTCTGGTGAAACCAGGAGGAATAAATGAGAACAGAACCGGTTCGGTCCAAATCATCTGATTTCCGGGTTCTTCCGCCTGAACTTCCCGTTTCCTCCGCAGCCCCCCCGGTACCGCCAGAGAAGGAGGTCCGGTCCGGTCCAGTTCGGTTCGGTCCGGTTCGGTTCGGCCTACCTGCTAACCAGTGCTTTGCTCCGTGTTCCGTTGGGCTGCAGCGTCTCGGTGGTTCCTTCCTGGATGAGGCTGAATTTACCCAGCATGCACCGCGCCTGGCCCCGCCCCTCCCTCGCTCTGATTCCTTCCCATATAAGGAGTGAAGGCAGAGGTTCTAATCCAGATCCGCAAACCGAGCAGCTGAGCTGTTCAGATAGAAATACAAAACCAGAAGTTTGGTTCTCTGGTGCAGCTGATTGGTTCGGAGGAGAACAGAGGAACCTCCATGGGCTGGAGGAGTCCATCTATAGGAGGAGGCGCAGGAGGAGGAGGAGGAGCAGGAGCCACACCGGCATGGAAAGGGTTAATGATGAGCAGGGTCTCCATAGTAGGGGCCAGGGGCCCCACATAGGGCCGAACGGGGGTCCTGAGGAGGTTTGGATCCCTGATCAACATGGAGGATCAGGACATTAATTATACAATAAATTAACTTTCTGAACGTTTCTTTTTGGAATCTTTTGCTTCTTTTGGCCAATTTTATATCCATAAATGTAAAATTATGACTAAACCCTCATTTATTTATTTATTAAAGGAAGCAACAAATAATTCCTCTACATCATCCTCTCCCAATAACAAAAACTTAATGCTCTAAATTCAAAATATTTATGTAATCCTCTTATATGCTTCTATGTCTTCACTTTACTATTTTTAAGTTTATTCAGATATTTATTTATTATTACTACTTTTGTTCAACTCAATTGTTCTTTGGAATTTATTCTTAAATCTTCATGCAGTTAAAATTTAATTTTAAATTAAATTAAATTTTATTTAATAAAAGATTCAAATAATTTCTATTATCTTTGGTCAATAATTCTATCAATTAAAAAATGCACAAGTAAATGTCTGAAGTTAGATATATGTATTCAATGTTTATTAAGAAAACTATTCTATTCAGTTTATTTCTATAGCTCCAATTCACATCATGTCATCTCAGGTCACTTTATAGATCCAGATCAACCAGATCATCCAGTCAGATTGATTCAAAGTTTTCTATCTAAGGAAAACCAGCTGATTGCATCGACTCATTGACTCTTCAGCAATCCCTCACACTAAGCATGCTTGTAGCGACAGTGGAGAGGAAAAACTCCCTTTGAACAGGAAGAAACCTCCAGCAGAACCAGGCTCAGTGTGAGCGGCCATCTGCTGAGGCCCACTGGGGTTCAAGGAGACAGAAGCAGACATAGAAACATTCATTTATAAATGAACAGAATTACTCTAGTTTCTATGCGTAAGTGGAGAAGGTCAGCTGGTTGTGGAGGAGGAAGTGGATCCAGGAAGCTTCCTGTAGGGCGGAGAGGAGGACGAGGTCACAGGAAACGATAGAGATCAGGACGACGTTCCTCAAGCCTCAGTTCTCCACCCCTTTGTGCTTCTGGATGTCTTTTATCTGCATTAATAATTATAATAAACTTGAACTTTATTCCCCCTCTGTGTTTAACCCCTCCCCATGGGGAGCAGTGGGCTGCCGTTGTGCGGCACCCGGGGAGCAGGGTGGGGTTAAGGGTCTTGCTCAGGGACCCAGTCTGTGGGGATCCAACCGGGTACTAGCAACCTTCTGAGAGCGCAGCGCTGCTCTAACCTCTAGGCCAACGCTCCCCATGGTTTATCGTTAGACTATCATCCACCATGATTAACAAACCAACAGCATGTCCTCCTCCTCCTCCTCCTCTTCTTCTTCTTCTTCTCTGGACGTGTTCCTGACATCTTTGAGGTTTTTCCTTCATTGTTTTTGATCTTTATCATTAGTCAGAGGGTGGCTCCCATATTTATGGGAAGGTTTAGTGTAACCAACATGGAGTCCACTTTCTGACTAAATCACATCATAGTGAACATCAGAGACGCTTTGAACAAAAAAAAAAAGTCAACAGGTTTAAAAAGTAGAAAATAGAATAAAAATAAACGTTTGCTTCTGTTTGAAAGTGGCGTTTATTTTTCAGTCTGTGGGCATTTCTGGAGCGGGATGAAGTGAACCGACCCTGATGGCAGAGCAGCTCTGAGGTCACCTCCTAATGCAGCCGCTATGGACGACATCATCATCATCATCATCATCAATGGGGGGACCAGGTTAATGGTAGAAGTCAGCAGGAAGGAAAAAAAACACATCCAAAATGTGTGAATGAGACAGTCACCATGGCAATGATGGATGCACAGCAGCAAACAGGAAATGAGTGAATCTGAGTTCCTAAAAAAGGAAATTAGAAACACTCCACTGAACTTTGTTTCCAAGTTAGAAGACGTTTCGCTTCCCATCAATTTTCTATTCCAAATGTCAGAAATAGCGTTTAGTTCCAGGTTTTATCCAGCAGCCCAACAAAGCCTGGTTTTAGTTTAGAAGACATGCAAATAGAAACGGATGAACGGGTCCCCCCCTTTGGAATGGGGGTGGTTAGCCTGCAATGCCCCATACCTGTCTATGTCTGGAGTATTTGGGATGACTGACTGAGAATCTTCACCAACAGACAGAATCTGAGCTGTTTTAATGTTTATTGCAAAAAAATAAAAAATAAATCAGGACTGAGATAAAATGTGCAGATAATGAAAGGATGCAGCCTATAAACGGGCTAAATGATGCAAACATATTCTAGTTTCTTTTAAACTGATGAGCAATAATTACCAAAGGAGGAAGGATCTGATTGGTGCTTAGATTCAGTCAGTTCATCACCTGGCCTCTAGTGGGCAGCAGACCTCAGACTGAACCTTCATGTTTTTATTTGCATTATACTTTGGTTATGTTTTCCTAACTCGCTCCAGCTTCTTCTTCCTGAACAAAGAAAGAAAACTGAGTGAACTTAAAGGAACCTGGGCTGCACCGAGGAACCGGACTCACAGACGGCCTGATGTCACAGGTCAAAGGTCAAAGCTGATGAGTTCAGTCAGATAACGACTAGCATAGCATCTGCTGCTGCTAACAAGCAGAAGCTATCAAACTGAATAACAGAAACATGCAGAGAGGAAACAGATCAAGTTAACAAACCATGAAAACATTTTATTCTGATTTGCAGATGATCCAGTTAATGACAGACAGAGGAGGGCGGGGCTTAATTGGAAGCTCAGGTCCTAAACATGAACACAGCTGGAACTAAAGAGACCAATGAACACGAAACAGAACCAACATCATCCATCTCACACGTTTCCACAGCCGGCCTTTTCTTCACACACAAGATGGCCGACAGGGAAGTGACCCGGCTGGTGAGGCGCTGTGGCCCGGCTGGAGGAGGAGCAGGAGGAGGAGCAGGAGGAGGAGGAGGAGTTCAGCTCAGCTGGGATCCATACAGGCTGCAGCATGTTGCTGAGGAGGAAACATTCTTCATGAAGCTCCTGCTGAACTTCTTACCTCACCTTCACATTTTATCTTTAAAAGCAGGAAAGAATAAAGCTCTTTAAATTCCTCAGTTTCTGACATTCAGAGCTTTTTAGAATCAACTAGAATCAAAGCAGCGCAGTGAGGAAACAGATTAAAATGTCCCGGCGAGCTCCTCGTCATCCAGATAACCATCAGGGACGGCCCGTCTGAGCAGGAAGACCAATTAAACCAACGGAGACAATCTCATCCTCAGGTTTCTGCCTCAGCAGGAAAATAAAAACTTCTAATGGCATAAAATTCAGATTAAAAAGCGCCCCAGATTAAGGGGGGGCAGAACATTTCCTCATCTTTAAACCTTCAGCATCAGCTGATTTCTCAAACCAACATTAGAGACAAAATGAGACATTTAGTCAAAGTGCATCAACAGCTCGTCAGCGGCTGGGCTCAGTCAGCACCGTAACGAGGCGCCTTAACGAGGCGCCTTAACGAGGCGTTCTCCAGTGTGTGACAGGGTGTCAGAATAAAGCGCCCCCCCCAGACTGTCCTGTGGGTCAACAACACAGAAATAAACCGACACACAGACATGCAGCAGAATCTCAGGGCGGCCCTCATCATGCAGGTTTCCCTAGGCGGCGTTTTAAGGTGGTATCTCTGGTTTGGTAGCTCCTCCGGTCAGTGGCCCTCAGACGTGGCAGTGTTTGGTTGGAGGCGACATGGCGGCCGGCGGCCGGCTGGGGGGGTCGTTTAAGCAGAAAGGAAAGCGTTCATCAGTAAACTCGTCTCACAGTGTGTAACCAGTGGTTCCAGTGATGCCAGCTCGCTTCTGGCTCAGGGTGGAAGCAGGAATAATCTGGGAGTCCGTCGGCTATAGCAGCTCCTCTCTGGGCTTCATGGCCCTGGGGGGCCCCTCGCCGTTCTTCAGGGAGCCGTTCTGGGTCCGCAGCAGGTGTCCACGCTCCTGACCCTCATCGCTGTCCAGGTCCGAGTCAGAGTGCATGAGAGCCGAGGACGTAGGACCAGGAACCGGCTTGAGACGGGCTGGGGGGACAAAGGAAGCGTCCAGAAACATTTATTAATGTCACAAATCCAGCCTCATTATTGGAGCAATGAGGATCAGTTCCTCCAGACGGGAGGAAACAGAACAAGGAGCACAGGAAGCAGTGGAGCTGCATGTATGACCCATCTATCCTCCTCCTCTACCTCACCAATCTTCCTCCTCTACCTAATCGATCTTCCTCCTCAAATCTTCCTCCTCTACCTCATCGATCTTGGTCCTCCTCTACCTCATCGATCTTGGTCCTCCTCTACCTCATCGATCTTCCTCCTCCTCCACCTCATCAATCTTCCTCCTCTACCTCCTC